GTCTTTAAGATGTACAAATTATGACGTTTTTAGGACTGGACGTCTTTGGGTTTAAGAAAGACGTCTTTACGACATCTTCTATTAGACGTTCTTAAGACAATAGCTTAAGCTGTCTTAAAGACGTTGTATAGACGTCTGCAACCAATCAATGCGTACGGCTTATCGTAAGGTTTTTGATTAATTAATTAGTTTTATATAACACTAGCTGTCCCGGCGAACTTCGTACCGCATAAGGGATATCTCATACGTACAGACAGACAATTTTTTTTATTATGTAGCAATTCCCGGGCATACACCCAACTATTTCACAAAATTTCATCGCAATCGGATGAACTGTTTAGGTAGGCATAAGAGACATACAAACATTCATTTTTATTTATTATATACGATAGGATTCTCAACCTTCTGTCACAAATCTGTATTTGAATTTAGTGTTTTATTTTATGGTAGTTGGTAACGTTGATCTCATGATGGATGGTTGGGTTGGTAACATACCTAACCTATAATCTATACATGACAAGCCCGCGTTTTTTTCATTTTCCCGCTAACTGCAATTCTTTAGCTGTGAATCAATTATTTACTCTGTTATCTCAAATTCAAGGTAAGTAATTTGCAAAAGGTTATTAGTTAGGTATGCACCTACTATTTGAAATTGTGCTAATGTATTAAATTTCTTTTACAGATAAATCTAACCTCAAATACAATTCATTGGCCTTTTTTTTTGTAAGTACTTCATTTCCACACGTAAGTAGAGTATACTATTACAAAATGAATCGTACAAATGATATTCAAAAATATTATATGCGTGCTAAGAGACAGAAAGTTTCAACTTCTCGGTGCACGTTAAGTTCACATCAAAAAGAGGATTCCTTAATTAATATAGATGAGATGGTAATGGATCATTTAGATCAAGCTGTATCTGATTACGATGATGTAGCTGCTCTGCCAGTAAGTCAAAATTTCAGCTTGAGCGATTCAACTTTCATTACAGACAAAATTGCGAATGTTCAAAACTTGTGTGATAATAACATTACGCCGAAGCTTAAAAATTGGTCACTGCAACATAACATTACACATGGCGCCATTAATGATCTACTACGTCTTCTGAAAACAACCCAAATTCCTGATAATTTACCATTGAACATTGCTAGGTACGGCCAGAACGATACATACTAAACTTATCGAACCAGGAGAATATTATCACTTTGGGTTACGATCTTGTTTGAAAAGACTTGTGAACATTTCAGGCGATGTTACTGACAAACTAAGTGTATTAGAAATAAATATCAACATAGATGGTTTACCACTTTCGAAAAGCTCGAATAGCCAGGTATATCCGATACTGTGTAATATTGTGGGTTGTAATAGCGTAGAAATGGTGGGTGTCTATCATGGTTATGAAAAACCAAAAAATTCAAATTCATTTTTAGCCGAATTTGTGGATGATGCTACTAATATTATTAACAATGGTATCGTAATAAATGGAACACTTTTCCAAGTTAGGATCAAAGGAATCATTTGCCACGCACCTGCCAAAGCATATGTTAAATGTATAAAAAGCCACACGGGTTATTCTTCTTGTACCAAGTGTCTGGTGGAGGGTAGCTATATTGAGAATCGTGTGTGTTTTCCTGTCAATGATGTTCCACAACTCAGAACTGATACCCAGTTCAGATCCAAATTTGATGAAGACCACCACATTGGCACATCTATAATTGAAAATATTCCATATATAGACATGATCCGTAGCTTTCCATTAGATTATATGCACTTAATATGTTTAGGTGTGATGCGTAAATTGTTATTACTTTGGTGTTGTGGGAAACCGTCAACAAAACTGGCTTTCCAAAAAATTTCAGACATATCTTCTCTATTGAAACAGTGTTCTCCGAATGTCCCTCTTGAATTCAATAGGAAACCCAGAGGTTTAAATGAAATAAGAAGGTGGAAAGCAACAGAGTTTCGCCAATTTTTATTATATACTGGACCCATAGTTCTTCAAAGTAACATAAACCGAGATAGATATATCAATTTTTTGTCCTTGCATATAGCTGTAATCATCTTGTCTCATCCTCAACATACAACAAAAATTGAATATGCTTCGGAACTCCTGAAATATTTTGTAAAAACGTTTAAAATTCTATATGGACCAGAAAATATGTCTCACAATGTGCATAATCTTCTTCATATAACTGATGATGTAAAGTATCATGGGGTACTTGATAATTTTAGCGCTTTTCCTTTTGAAAACCATCTCCAAAGCATTTTAAAGTCATTACGAAAATGTGAGAAACCTTTGCAGCAAATAGTAAAAAGGCATTCTGAGAAGCAAAACGAAAATTATAATTATGAAAAAAAAAATTGTCCAATTTATAAACGTGACCAGAATGCTACTTCACTTTTAACAAAACTGAAGATTACAAGCCATTCAAAGTCGGTTGCTTATTCAAATTTTATTTTAACTACCCGTGAACCTGATAATTGTTGTCGTCTAAAAAATGGGGATGTCATAATTATTAAAGACATTGTTCTCAATCAGAACGAGTTTAAATTCCTGGGAAATAAATATTTAAGTTTAACTTCACTCTATAGTTCACCGTGTGAATCATCAGACTTAGGCATATTTGCAGCAAAATCAACAGATTTTGATACTGATTGTTTATTTGAATTTGAGAATGTTGATTATAAATGTCTTCATTTTAAAATAGCCCACAAAAGTTTTGTTGTTCCAATTATACATACGCAGGTTTAATTAATGCATCTAGTTTTAGCATCAATACGATATCTTGTTCACAAGTCTTAAAGGTGAGAATACTGAGTAATAATAGTAATAATAATAATAATCATACAATTCATTTACAAAAGTCCTTTGGCTTATCTAATCTTTGTTCTATATAATTCGTCATAAAATCGAAATTTTGTGTTTTTCTTGTAGTTATACAATGTTGTAGATATTTACATTCTGGTACACGTAGCCTTGTTTTTTTTAATTATAACTTTCCTCATGAGACTTGTGAACAATTTCCAAACACCACTGTAATTGTAATAATATAGATAAATGGAAGATAAATCGTGGACAGTGGTGTTATTTGACGATGCAACTGTCGAAGCAATCCCTTCACATTGGATTATAGGAGATTTGTGCCACTGGCCACCATACCCAACAAGCAAACTATCCGACTCTATAAAAAATGGCGATCCATTAAACACCTGTTGGCCAACGCTTCACGTGAAAATTTTCCGGGACGGCACATTCCGTAATTGAACCTGAACATTTAAGACATTTTGTGTATAAAAAAATTATTTTTAGATGATTATGGGATAGCTAGACAAAAGGCAAAGGTTGCTGAGAACACCAGCGACTTAAATACAGACACAGAAGACTGTAACAAACGAAAAAGGAAAAAAAAAATAATTTCCAGTAGTGAATCTGAAAGCAGCGACACAATGCTACCATCACCTCCAAAACTAAAAAATCCAAAACAGAAAGGTAGTAATTTCTTCTAAATTTTGCTACCCTACATTCTCCGTTTTTTCAGATCACTCAAGAAACAGTGAGATACTAAGAAAGGGCAATCAACAGCGAAAACGTCCAAATAACACAAGGAATGGGGAAAGTATCCAAATAGCACCAAAACCATATGAAAGTACAATAGGTAAACAATACTTAATTTGTGTTTTCTTCATACGTTTTGGAATTAAGTTATAGATCCTGAGGTCTCTATTGTTGAAAATGAAAATTACGGATGTAAATTGAATGTTGAAAAGGGTATGTATTTTTGCATCGGTTTATGTTTTAAAAGTTTTGTATATAATTTCTTTAGTACTTTGAAAATATAATTTTTTTGAAGCATTAGCTAAGTCAATCTCATTCAATTGGGTGCTGTTATGTCCACTTCTGACCAATCTTTATACATACCAAATACATTCTCATTTGGGATTTAGTAAAGACCAGCACATTTTAATTGTGTGTTTTTTGTTCGTATGAATTGCTATACAATTAATTATTTACATATACTTGAATTATTACAGATAAATACCTGAAATCTATTGCTGAACAAGTGCATATTAATCGTGCAATATGTATGGATATATTAAGTGAAGTAAAAGAAATAAAGCAATACATCAGAACGAGAAACGTGCAAAATCCAGAAGAAATAACTTTTGCCAAGAAATTTACAAACATTGTATTTCCGATAATATCGGGAGAACAATTTGATACCTTGGAAGCTATTCTGGAGAATGAAGAAGACTTAGACTTACTGGTAATTTTGTCTTACATTAAGTAAATGTATAACTGTAAATAATGTCTGCTTAGGTTACAGATTTTGCGAAAATTGGAGGTAGCAGTTCGTATAATTTTGTGAAACGAGTACTATCTATTTGCTTGAGTAACGATATGGCGTTACAGTACAGCTGGTTAGGAAGAAAAGGAAAAAAACCTTTTAGTAACTTGAAAATCGCAAAAGTTATTATATGTAAGTGTAAATTATTTTTAAAATTGAATTATTGTTTTCTTTCTTATCATTAGATGCCGCAGAAAAGGCCGGTATTGTGAAAAATAGAAGTGAAGCAGAGGTGGGAATCCAAACTTGGTTAAAGCGGGCTAGTGACAGACGTGCAAGTTTATTAAACAAAAAAACTGCTTAACGATACATGTTTTTACTTATACCGCAGAACACCTTAATCTGTGCTTTACTAAAATTTTAAATATGTACAATTTTGACATTTCATTGTATTCATTAACCTTTTCAGAGCAAAACAGTATTTTAATAAAACGTCTTAAGTATGTCTCATATTTTCCCATTTTATGTCTTTTTGGACTAATATAGTATCTTAGAAAAACGTTTTAAAGACGTCTGGATTTTTAACATAAGCTCTCAATAAGACGTCTTTCAGATGTCTCCAAGGCGTAAAAGGATGTCTTTCAGACATTGTAAATGTCTGCAACAGACATCTTTTGTATGCCTTTAAGACATCTGTGTGCTGATTGGGTAATTTTCGCAAATTATGAGTTTCAGAACTAAAATTCCTAATAAAACGACTTAAATATGTGCATAACCCTAAAAATCTATGTAATGTTTGTTTGTCTTTAGGTTGCTGCGTATTTTGAATATCTTGGATTTTAGAACTATCTGCTTTTAGTCCTTGATCACTTAATTCAAAACCATAAAATTTTACTGAAGTCTTACATAAACTTAACTTAGATTTATTTAACTTACAGTTATACTTCCTGCATCTCTCAAATAATTTGGCTAAATTCTTGTTGTGGTTTACCAACGCTTTTTCTTTGGTATCGCCTACACCGTAGATTAGAAAGTCATCGGCCATCACTTCGACACCTTCTAAATCTTGTACCATTTCTCTCAATCGCATCTGGAAAATCTCAGGACTGACGTTTAACCCAAATGGTAGTACATTCCAACGAAATCTTCCAAAAGGAGTCCAGAAAGTAGTCAACTTGCTACTAGCTTCAGTTAATCTTAACTGCCAAAATCCCTTTGTTGCGTCGACTGTACTAAACACCTTCGCATTACCCAGTTCTGGAACGACTTCATCGATAGTGGTAAACTGGTAGTTTGGACGTAATAGTGCCTTGTTAAGTGGGATTGGATCCAAGCATATCCTAAACGAAGTACCTTTCTTCACTATTAGAATATTACTGACCCATTCGGTGTGCTGATCTTCTCGTGTTAAAATACCTTCTTGAACTAATTTATCTAACTCTTCTTTAAGCTTCTTTCTCAGGCTTATCGGTATTCTGCGTGCTTTTTGAATGACCGGATTAACGTTTTGATCAATCTCTAGCTCAACTTCGCCTGGAAATCGATCATATCCTTCAAATACATCCATGTAGTCGTTTATAATATTCTCAGCTTCAACTTGCAATGAATTTTCTACCTCGACTTTTAATTTATTGCAAAACTGTATGAGCCCTAGCTTGGAACATGCATTTGCTGATAATATCGGACCATGTTTGTAATTGACAACTTTAAAACAAATACGATAGGTGGCTTCTTTACGTTTGCACGGCACGAGTACTTCACCTACGACCTTCATTCGACCTCCTCTAAAAACACATAGGTTGGTGTCGGACTCCCTCAGCTCAGGAAGTTGACCCTCGCAGGCTTCTAGTAGATTTTCATACCCGATTACACAAATGTTAGCACCGGTATCGAGTTCACAGTTCATCGTCTTCCATCTTTCGTTGAACTTCAACGTTAACTCTGCTTGAACATTACCACCTCTCGCCGAATTATCCGTAATCTTATGTATCGTTAACTCAGCATCGTCACTCTCAGATGCATCTTCAAATTCACCTTCGTCTTCAACTATTTCTTTAACATGTTTCTTTGTGATCAACTGGTTTTCCTTTATAACAACAAACTTTTTGCACTTATGTTTGAAAGCTGAACACGTAAAGTTTTTAAAAGGGTGCTTTTTGTTGCAAAACTTGCACCTTAACAATGTATCTGTTTTCGAACTTGTCTGATCTTTGTTTTTAGCACCTTTAATCTTATTAACCACCTTTTCTTCATTGTTCATATTCTTAAAACGATCTTCTGTAACTTCATTCACTTTACACGTTTGGATCACTTCATCTAGCGTCAACTTGTCCGGATCAGCTCGTAGAAACTTTTTCTTTAATTGGTCATCACGAATACCAAATGCTACTCGGTCTCTTAGCATCATCTTTTTTAACTCTTGCGGGTTAATCTTATCAAATTGGCATCTATCGACTAATTTATTTAAGCGGCAGTAATATGCATCAAAATTTTCCTCCGGTAACTGATTGCACGAGTGAAATAACCATCTTTCGTACAGAGGCGATTAACCGTTCCCCAATGGTATTCAACATTTCATCGGCATTGCTCTTTTCATCATCGGTTAAAGAAAAATTGTTAAACTTAACCTTTGCAACATCTCCAATTATTGATAATAAAATATTCACCTTCTGTTCTTCTCTATCTGCTGACCACTGATCCATACCTGTTGCCTTTACATAAACTTTCCAATTTGCTTTAAACAGTTGAAAATTTTCGTAAATGTCCCCCTCATCTACCTGGAGCGGTTTTGGCCAAGGTACGTTAGACATATGTTTCGTGGAAGCCTCCGGAAATGCAGTTTGCATCTTTTGCTGCATCTCTTGTAATTGTTTTCGCCGTTACTACCCGCACGCTAGCGTGCGACTTTTTTTGAGCATCGCCGCACGGGAAACGTCATAGTTTAAGTGATGACGTCACAATATGGCTGCGGATCAGCTGATGAGTAACAACATTACATTAGGCGATTTCTGGCGAGAAAAGTAACCTTCAGTAAGACCGCTTTCAATTTCTGGCGAGTAACTAATGACGTCACTGTAGTATGCTAGAGTAACCACTAACCAAGTAACATGCCCTTACCTACCTTCAACCTGGAGTAAGCAATAGTAAAGTTAACTTTCTAACCTCAATTTGTGAGGTTGGTTCTTTTATTTATGTTTACATGTGAGTAGTGAGTTTACATTAGTTCTTGGTTGATAGTTACTTTATATTCTAGATTACTTATAGGTATAATGGATAATAGTCTAGAAGATGATGATACTTTAGTGGAGGTGAAGTTCTTAATTAACAATGAAATTGTAACATTTTCGGATAGTGGGGTGGTTGCAACAGCACTAAAAACAGGTAGGTTAATTGCTTATATCAGTGAACCTCAAAAGGCATGTGTTCGTATAATACTAAAACCACACATAACAGAAATAAACACATTTTGTTTGTAGATGCCAATTTTGTGCTAGAGTACATATCAAGGGCAATAGAGGAAGGATTTTTAGAACAATTCGGTGTATGCAAAGGCACTTCAATTGCCGACATAGATATCTCTCGAATTTCTGGTATGTAGACGTTTATCCATTACGATAAGCATTATAATATACTTACAAAACTCCATATAAGGAGTGAACCGTTGTTACGATCAATCTAAAAGGATATGTCACTGTTTCTACAGATCAATCGTATCGTATATGGGACCCTTAAGGCAAAATAATTATAGTTTTTAGTATATTAAAGCTATCGGAATGAATTCAATTATACCATAATGTTTACAGATGAAACTCCTGAAACTATTGAAACCGCAGTCGCAGCTGCTGAAACCGACCAAGAAATCTGGAGCAGTAGAGGGAAACCGACCGACCTTGATAGGCGTGCTACAGAATACATGTTGGAACTAAGGAACTCTGCAAAATTTCAAACTTTATTTGCGGACAAAAAAACTGTAAAAATGTCTATATGGGGGAAAATTGCAGAGCTTCTAGGTAGTGCTGGATTTCCCCTAAATCCTAAAGAAGGAGGGAAAAAATGCTATCAAAAATTTCAGAATTTGACCAAAATGTACATAAATTTTATAAAACATGTAAAAACAACAGGAGGTGAAGCACGGGAACCACCACCTCATTATGACCTATTACATAACATTTTGGGTGATAAACACAAAATAACATTAGGGCATATTAAGGATTCACTGCAATTAGCAGATACTCAAGATGAATTAAATGTAATCCATCAACCACAGCCATGTGCAACAACTTCCCAGCAACCACTCACCCCCACGTCATCTTCCTCCCGATCACAGACACCCACATCATCTTCCCATCTACTCGAATCCTCTACCCCATTATCAAGATCCCATACCTACACCACACCTAGATTCTCATTTCCAAAATATACGTAAATCGGTAAAACCACCCAAAGCAGATGTCATACAAACATTATTGACGATGCATAAGGAAAACATTGATATGCAAACTTCCCAATTTAAGGTATTAGAAAACCTCATGACTACACAGAATAAATTGTTAGAGCAGCAAAATGCCCATAAAGCCACAATAGTTTCGTTATTTGAATCAATGGTTAAAAAAACTACAAGAAAAAGAAGAAGACATTCTAGTGATAGCGATGATGATGATTAAAAAATTGTTTATATTTTTATATGTATATCTATTCAAGCAAAATCAGTATTTATAATTTTTTTACAAAGGAATTAAAGAGTTTGTGATATCAAATCGCGTTTTCTAGTCCCTTCACGATCTCTACGGCCAATATAAGTATCACAACTATCATGTTCACTTGATGTGACATCTACTTCATATATATCACAAGTTAACAAGCAAAAATTATGCAGTATACAACATGCGGTTATAATATCAATAGCCTTTTCAATGGTATATACATTAACAAAATTTAAAATCCTCCAACGGCCTTTCAACATGCCGAAAGTATTTTCGATTACAACCCGTGTCACACTATGTGCGTAGTTGTGTTTCCGTTGCAGCGGCATAATTCCAGTGTTCCTAAACCACAACAATAAATACCTATGTGCAATTATTTGTATTTGTGTCTACCTATACGGAGTTATTAACCATGACCTTAATGGATATGCGGAATCTCCCACCAAGTGGTATCTACCGTAAAACAGATTGAAACAGTTAGTTTCACAGATTTTTCCCAAGTCCGATTCTCTAAGTATCTACAAAACTATTAACAGCATGATTGTAGGTTTGCATAAACTATCTTACTCGTGCATCATGCACAGATCCTGGATAACCAACAGAAATATTAGTAAATAATCTGGAGGAAATACACACTCCTTGAAGGGTAATGGAATGGCAAAACTTGCGATCCTGATAACTGTCATGCTGCTCCTTGGGTATTTTACAAGTTATGTGGCAACCGTCAATAGCACCAATCACATCTAGGAACAACATATTACGCTGATTGCTGTGCGGTTTAAAAATGTCCTTACCTGGATAATTACAACGCTGTTGAAAATCATTTGCAATTTGTTCGCAATCTTCCGCATTAGGCCACTTAATATAAATAGGCATAAGAGAGCAGATAACTTTAATAATTTTCATGGTAATATAGAAAGCTTTTGACACGCTAACATTAAATTTATCACTGATCGACACTAACGTTTCTCCTTTGGCAAGGTACCAGAGAGTGATTAGGATTTCTTTCTCTAGAGGTATTATTTCAAACCCTCCTCTGTATTTTTTTACTGTTAATTCTTTTCCAATTGCAGTGGTCAATTTGAAATATGTTGACTTTATCATTCGAAAATGAATAAAAAAATCGGTATCAAGATAGTTTGTTATCCATTCCTCATAACAAAGTGGCATACGAAAATGGCATTTCCTTTGCTTTTGCAATACAATAAATTTGGTCCACTCAGGAACGGCTTTTAATAGAAAATGCATTACTATGTGCACACTTGTGGTCAAAGTATCATCTATACAAAACTCTTCTAATAATGCATTCATCCACATACTATTATTACTTAATATCGACATAGCCTATGTCACATAGGTACAAGTAAAAATTACAACAAAAACACAGAAACAAAACAAGGTTATGTTATGCCTAACTTTCGATTTTCAGGTGATCTTACTTCCATACAACCAATTACGTCATTAACGGTGATGTAATAGGTAACTTCCAGCATACTGGTACATACTCAGGTACACGTAAGTTACCTCGCAAGTCGCAAGAAATCACTTATTATTTGAGTGATTATATACTTTAGCTTTATTCGTTTTAGTTGACCATAGAACAACAAACTTAGAATGGAAACTGTAATGTAATGTAAAAATGACGCGCCATCTCGTGTATGTTCTCAGCAGCTTTTGCGTGTATGGCGCCAAATTTAAATATTAAAATGTAAGCTACGTCCGCATTATACCGACTTTCTCCGGATCTGTAACAATAACATTGGATTTTACTAGCTGAAACCTAAAAGGTAAATGAATCCAGTCAGTGAAGTCCAATTTTGTTTGTTATAGGGATCCAAATAAATTTAGTTTAATGCGGATGCACCTCACCAGTCAGGGCATTCAAAGAGTACAGGGCACTTGTTTTATAAGTAAGAACTCCAATTAATCCAATCAAGGAGTTATATTTAATTTAATACGATTATACAAGATACAAGATCAACTTCATGGAACTCTACTGTATGATGCTCTCGAGATCGTTCTAAAAACAAAATATGTAGCAATTTATTACAATTCAATTAGTGTTACCTGCTAAATATAATGTGCGAACTGCCACACGCTTTAAATCTCTTCGTGTTCCAGGTTCTAACGCGCAGTCAGAAAAATGACGTTCATAAACCAAAAACTTTCTTCCACATTATATTCTAAACCAATTCTTAAAAACTTCGGGCTCCATTTTTGGGAAACGTCTTCACAATTTGTCACACAACATTTACGTTCTCGACTTGTATATGCATAATTCATTGTAATAATGAATAGTAATTATACTTAAAGCACAATAAACCGTCAATCAAAATTCAAAATTCAACTGTCATAATGGCGAACACGCACGAAAGTCACTAGATTTAGTAACTAACACGCACGCTAACTATGCGCCATCTATTGAATGTTCTCCAAACTAATTATATTTGTACTCAGAGGCGCTTTCTTTCGGCTACTTCGCAATCATGATTTCAAAATCGTGATTCGTCGGATCACGTTTTACGAAAGAACGCGCGAATTTAAATCAAAGTATGGTTAAGTTTACGTAGTACACATTTGCATTCGAATTACGTATTTTTTGTTTGGACTATGAAAATAATTTAAATTCAAGTGGAAGTACTTGCGCGATTATGCTCCTCTTCAGTTACAAATATGGACTAACCTAACATTTGAGCAAAAATATCCTTGCATTTATAGGTTAGGAATTCGTGATCATAAAACTTTTATGTTCAGTTTGTTCTCGATTTTAGCAATCATGATTATAAGATCACACTTCGAAAGAACGTGATTTGACAATCCAAACGCGTTTGGATCACCGAAAGAAATCGCCTCAGTTGTTCCCGTTTACGTTTCCCTTCTAAGTTTTTTGTTCTGGGTAGTTGACACAGGTTGACATGTTTCAATTGAGGTGCAGTAAAATGCATTCGTTTTAAAAAACAACGTGACTATGGTTGCCCAAATGGTATTCGTTTTAAACATGGCGGTGTCAACACGATGCTGCGTTGGTGTTGCCGCAAGATGCATGTTGTAACCTTATGTAGGTAAATATGTAATCACATTTAGCGTCAGCCTAGACACAGCCACATAATTCAGCTGAAGGTCAACAGGGACAAGCGGAGGAAGGCGAAGGTGGCTAGTAGTACTACGCTCGAGTGTGGATAAGGAGTTCCAAAATTTTGTTGCATTATTCATGAATTTAATAAAGATGTTCTTTGATTAATCGGATTAATCCAGTAATCACAACAAAATTGGCGACGAGGAACGAGGATGAGCACGATGCAGCCACGCAATGAGTAAGCACGTTTCCACATATCACAAGTTCAAGATCCATCCAATGAAACTATTTTACCTGATTGCTATTGCTCATCGAATATAAATAATCAGCATGACGGAATTAACCCAATTTATCGCTACTTTGCAACAACTACTGGAAAAAGTTAGTAACCCGACCCCGCACCCAGAGACGCCACGTCAGGAAGATAAAGAGGATGCTTCAAAGATACACTTCGACAACTTCAACGGAAAAATAGAGTCATTTACGACGTATATTCAACGACTCGAAAACTTGTTTGACCTCCATCGAATTCAAGCCACTCCTGACGGAAACGCACTGCGAGCCAAGGTACTTCTAAACTGCATTGGCACCCAATATTATCAACTTCTCTGTTCACTATGTTCACCAGATTTGCCTACTTCAAAAACGTATACCGAAATTGTAGATGTTTTAACGAAACATCTATGTCCAAGGCAAAACATAGACGTAGCTCAATTCAATTTTATGAAGAGATCTCAAACAGCAAGCGAAACCATTAGTGAGTAGTAGATGAGCAAAGGGACTTCTAGACCAGGAAGTGACGTCACGCCAATGAGAATCGAGTATTGTGGTCACGTGGTGCGGTGTGAGCCAATGGGAGCGCGTGAGTCGGCCATTTTGTGACGTCACATTTTGTGTGTTTTGCTTCCGGTGTTTCTGGACCAGGAAACGCGTCATAGCTTGTGAAATATTTGTCTGAAAAAAAGGCTGCGTCGAGGATTTGAACCGTCGATACGTGAATTACGAATCTGCCGCCTTAACCATCTGAGCTAGGCGAGGCTTTGAGATATGAACGTTTAGCAGTTCAAGTATTGTTAGAATGAGGGGGGCGCGATTGCAGGGGCGTAGAGGGTAGCAGTAGGAGCGGTAGATACCCCTAGGCCGTATAAGCTATTTCGTAGGAGTGGGAGCTACCCCTATTATGTTTTTAGAAAAAGCGCGTAATTGAAAGAGGAAACTGCAATCTCGCTTTACATTTCTATATTGAGAAAGCGCGCAAGATTATTATAGACGTATTAACCTATAACGAGGTCATGGTGAATTGCTGTAGAGGTGCAGGAAGCTGCAATCTCGCAATAATGTTTATTTATAGCAGCTATGATAAGACGCTTAAAAGTGTAATAGATAACCATTTTATTTTAATGCATATAATTAATACCTACATATGTTAGAAATTATGAAGCTACACAGTTTTTTGTGTACGCTCCGCCATAATACAATCTCTACAATAAATCATTAACGGCGCTGGGCCATCGATGTGGGTGCGCTGCCATGGCTGGTTCCAATGTTTCTTACATCGTATTCGATTACGTAATTCACAGTCTCTTTGCAATACGTTGAGGATCTTGATCCATATTTTCAATAAATAAGTCATTTACACTTAAACTTAACAATTCGCTCTTCGTCTCGATATAATTAGACTCCTTATTTGAGCCTCTCGCCGAGCGATGTTGCGCAAGATTATTATAAATGGGAGACGTATTAACCTATAACGAGGTGATGGTGGGTCGCTGTAGAGGTGCAGGATAGTAAAAGAAATATTTCAAAGGATCATCATCAATAATGGTTAACACCTTTATTCATATTTCAAATTAGGGTTATGTAATTATTTGTAAATTCGTTGTTGAGCCTACCGCTCCTATACTAGATATAAATACAACTTTATTTGTTACGGTCAACTTAAGGAACTCTAGCCGATTTTCTTCTGTGAGGTATGTATGGTAACGCTGCGGCAGTATGCACTTGAAGGTCTCGGTTTCGACCATAATTCGATCTCCAAACTTGGTGCCGATTACGCCGATATCAGTAATTGGGTATTTATTTCCGATTTCCAGATCTTTTGCATTTATGAATGGCTTACAATAGGTAGATGAGTTCAAGGAGGCGAAATCAAATTCTTCCATTATTATGAGCAGTAAATATCTGTAACAAATAAATAAGTGAAAAAATGAATAATCTAACCGCTACTTAACAAAATTAGTCATTAAAATCATACTCACCAAATAACGCCGCAAACTAGTTCGCACGAATCACTGACTGAGACGTTAACTGCACTCGGCTTTTATTTCAATTTTCTATCTAATCATAGCGGATGCAGCATCCTGGCAGTGTTTCTAGAAATTTCTGAGCGGAAGCAGCATCCCGTCTCTTATCTACATCGAAATGTATTTAAGCTGACGCATTTCAATTAAGTCATTGCATTTGTATGTGTATGTGTATGTGAGCAGACTGTCTCAACTACTACTTCAAAGCAGAAATCCTCTTTTAAGCAGCGAAAATCAGGTAAGAGCGTTTTATCTTAAATAAAACTTTCGGTATTTTAATGTAGATATTCTAGGAAAAATGGCTCATATTTTAGACAATGTGAATACAACGCTTGAAATGATTGCCCATTTCTATAAAAACTATAATCTTGGCTCTGCTAGCAAGGTTCCAAAATTCATCAACATCATCGATGCTAATCTTAGGCAAATCCAATCTTCGCTAGCAGAGCCGCTAACGGTTGGAGATAAACGGCACCTTGCAGCTGTGGCTGGTAAAATGGAACGCTACAAGGTGCTTATTAACCAGTTGGGGAAGCCTATTGCCGGCTCCTCCCTAGGTAGAAGACCGTTGGTGGAATGGCGAGATTTGGCGACCGCATTCAAATCGCGTGTGAGTACCGGTATTATTATTAATCTAGGACATAAGACTTTAGGATCATTTTTTAACGATAGCTGTAAGTTATTTATCACTAAGATTAGAGACATCTATCCCAAATATAATAGCCCGCTGAAAACAAATTTTGAGTTTTGCGCGGAATTTGTAAAGCCCTCGTTGAATAAGAATGATGAAGCACTAGCATGTAGGGAATTTAGTTTTTTAACTAAGAATTTTACTATTTTATCTAGCGATTTAAGTGAAGCTAACTTGAAGCAATTATTTAATAATAACGCGGTGGATTATTTGATGGAGCGCTTAATGCAATTTGAGGAACAGGACAGCGGGTGGGGGCTGTCCAAGATAATTTCCTTGACTGTGAACGTAAACAGTGTGACTTTAATGCACGCCTCGTCCTTTATAGAATTACCTAAAGAAATTCAAGTTAAAAAAGCGGTCATCAATGTTAAAAATAATGATGAAGCGTGTTTTGGATGGGCGTTGTCATCAGCCCTCTTCCCCGCTACCCTCAACACCAATCGTATCTCTTCTTATCCATATTATGCGCAAATCTTAAATTTTGATGGTATTAGCTTCCCCATGTCTTTAGACCAACTCCAAAAATTTTTAAAACAAAATCCAAATTTATCTATCAATATTTACGGCCTTACTAGAAAAACGCAATCCGATTATGTCACTGTTCCTATTTATCTTAACACCGAAAAGAAAGCGAATCACGTTAATTTACTCATGATCCAGCAGAATTATGAAATTGAAAAGGATATTGAGAATAATGCTACCGCTCACAATAGTGAGGAACCCGATGAAGCGGTTCGATTTCATTTCTGCTGGATCAAAGATTTGTCGAGATTGGTACGTTCACAGTTGACGAAGGGACATGGAAAGCTGTATATTTGCGATAGGTGTCTCCACTATTTTAGCTCACCAGATAAACTTAATGCACATGAGTTAGATTGTAAGTTAGTTAATAAGTGTAAAATAAATATGCCAGAGCCCGGTTCACATGTATATTTCAAGAACCATGAATTCAAACAGACCGCTCCTTTCATCATTTATTGTGATTTGGAATGTTTGGTACAAGATTTTCAGGATGATGAGACGCAAAACACCGTAAAGTATAAGCAGCATAACGTATGTAGCATTGCATATTATTTGCATTGCACCTTTGATAATTCATTGTCGAGGTTCCGCCTGCAGAGGGGTGAGCAATGTATTAATTGGTTTACCAGTGAACTTGAAGAAATTTCAAACAATTTACAACAATATTTCATTAATCCAGTGCAAATGGAACCGTTAAATGATTTGCAAATGTTGGGATATAATGCATCCACCTATTGTCATATTTGTGAAGGGCCCATTTTACCGCCCCAGGTCAAAGTTCGCGATCACTGCCACTTTACAGGTCGGTTTCGCGGTAGTGCCCATCAGGCCTGCAATTTACGTTATAAAGCACCACATATGATACCCATATTTTTTCATAATTTTAGCAGATACGATAGTCATTTTATAATTAAGGATATTGCTCAAGCTATTCCTGGGAGAGTTACGCTGCTACCTAAGAATAAGGAGCGTTACATTTCATTTACTAAGAAAATGGAGAATGCAGATGTCGAATTCAGATTCGTAGATTCGTATCGCTTCATGAGCGAATCATTAGATAATCTAGCGTCCTATTTGAAGTTTGACGATTTCAAAATTTTGCGTAGCACGTTAAGCCATTTAAATGATGAGCAGCTGAAACTTTTAACTAAAAAGGGCGTGTATCCGTATGAATATATGGATAGTTGGGAAAAATTTAATGAAACCAATTTACCGGAAAAGATACAATTTTACAGCAAGTTGAGGCAGTCGCACATTTCAGATCAGGAATATTCGCATGCTAGAAACGTTTGGCGAAAATTTGAAACTCAAAACTTGGGTCAATATAGCGATCTTTATCTAATGAGCGATGTGCTTATACTTGCAGATGTATTCACCAATTTTAGAGAAAAGTGCATAACAACGCATAAACTCGATCCAGCATTCTTTTTCACAGCGCCCGGATACACGTGGCAATGCATGCTGAATTACACCAAAGTTAAACTCGAGCTGCTCACAGATGTTGATATGATGTTGTTTGTTGAAAAAGGTATAAGGGGAGGCATAACGCAATGCTGTACGAAATACAGCAAGGCCAATAATAAATATCTGAATGGGAAGAATTACGATCCTACTAAACCCCCTACTCATATCATGTATATGGATATGGTTAACTTGTATGGGTGGGCTCAAAGCCAGTGTTTACCTTTAAATAATTTTAAGTGGCTTAGTGAGGCTAAATTAAAGTCATTAACTCCTGAAGCGATATTAAATACACCTGATGATGCGGTCGAAGGTCTCATTTTAGAGGTGGATTTATTGTATCCCAGGCAATTGCACGATCAACATAAATCCATTCCTTTCTGCGTTGAACACGACACTCCACCGGGCGCTAAAAATAAGAAATTGCTCGCAACCTTGCATTCAAAAACTAGATATGTTATTCACTATAGAAATTTAAAACAATGTCTTCAAGCAGGTCTCATCCTTGAAAGAGTTCACCGGGCTATTAACTTTAAACAATCTTGCTGGTTAAAACCATATATAGACTTGAACGCAAGGTTACGAGCGCAAGCCACTAACGCTTTTGAAAAAAATCTATATAAATTATTAAATAATGCAAATTTCGGAAAAACGATGGAGAATGTGCGGAACCATCGCATTATTAAGCTTGTTACCCGGTGGAGTGGTAGATACGGAGCCAATTATTATATATCCCAGCCCAATTTCCATAGCAGAGAGATCTTCGATGATGAATTATTGGCTATCGAGCTATCCAAAACAGAAATTCTATTTAATAAACCGCTATATGTTGGGATGGCAATATTGGAAATTTCGAAAACTAGAATGTACGATTTTCATTATAACTTTATGCAGCATCAGTTTAGCGACGACCGCTTGAAATTGTTGTACATGGATACCGATAGCCTCGTGTACGAGATGGTATGTGATGATGCATACGAATTGATACGTGCAAATATTTCACGATTCGATACGTCTGATTATCCTGAAAACAACATCTATAATATCCCTAGATGTAATGGAAAAGTGCTAGGAATGATGAAGGATGAATTGGGCGGTAGAATCATAACCGATTGGGTGGCTTTGGCATCTAAAATGTACAGTTATAAAACTATGGATAGCGATAATGATGTAATGAAATTAAAAGGTATTAGAGATTATATTGTAAAAAATAGACTAAGTTTCAATGATTATTTAGAATGTTTAAGGAGCGGGATTACTAAAAGTGTCACCCAAAGCAGCATCATATCAAAGAATCATCATGTATATAGTATGGAACAACATAAAATTGCTCTTAGTAACAACGATAATAAGAGGTATTTGATGCCAAATGGTATCGATACGCTGCCTTGGGGACATTATAGTATTCCCGCTGAAATGGACTTAGGATAAGTAATTTGGGAGTATGTTTGTTTGTAATTATAGGTATTTATTAGGACATGAAATTAAATGTATAATAGCTATTAATCATATGTATTCTTTGTAAATGACTTTATTAGGATAGGAAATTAAGTGCGCATGTTCATAATCATATTTATTCATTGTAAAATATAATAGCATGTGTACTTATAATAATAAAACATGGAAGTTATACAAAATCTGATTTTTTAATCCACGAGTCATGTGATTTATCCATGCCAAGCCATCGAACGTAGAGCTGATCTCCTTTACGCCGTAACACTTTCTCAACAAGAAATATATCCGGATGAGCAGTTTTCTGCATTTCTTCCGCGTAGAATTGCCCCATTATTGGTTTACCAAATGAATCCTCCAATAAGTACGTAACGGGATTGCCAACTTTTACTTTAACCACCTTGAATAATTCGGTAGAAAAGTTCGGAGTGTAGCCTTTTGAAAACACCGATTTATACTTGGATATTCGTACAACGTCACCAATTTTGAATTTAGCTGGTCCCATTATCTTTATATTATGGAACATTGGTAAGTATGTCTTTGCAGCTACATCTTTAGGCTTCATCTTAATAGTCGAATGTCTCGTATTATTATAGCCTAAAGTCACTTCCGCTAGCACATCAATCCATTTATATCTTCCGCGAAGACTGAACCGCTTATATAATGCATTTTTGAAAGTTTTTATCACTCTTTCAACTATGGCCGCTTTCTTTACGCTATACGTAGAGTAATGATTGATGGTATGTTTCAGCATTAACTTTTCAAAATCCTTATTATAGAATTCTTTTCCTTGATCGGTTTGTAAATTGACTGGCACTCTTCCTTCGCACATAATAGCGGTCATGTTTTTGCTCACTTCACTAGCATTCTTCGATTTTAAGGGTCGCGTCCATAGGTATTTGGAGTAGCAATCAATTACGGTTAATATATATTTATAACCTCGATTATCTTTAGAATATCGCG